TAGGAAAATCTCTGGCCTCTGTCTGAATCCCAACTGGCACCCAAGCCTTGCATTCAGGCAGCGCTGGCCATGCAGGCGCTGAGGGCAGCACGCAGGTGCAGCTGGGCTCTCCTGACCCTGGGAACACAGTGGGACCAGGGCAGCAATGTCTGCTGCAGGTAGGGACCTGCACAGCCTTCCTCAGCAAGAGACAGGGCACAGCTACACTTGAACCTAACGATGGAGTCCCCACTTCCCACCTTGCCAGACCCCTGGTCTCCTACGCGAGGCAGGATCCGTCTGTCTCGAGGCAGCTTTGGAGGGAGCCCTGCCTGCACCCTCACAGGGCTCTCCACCACCTGCCTCCCTCAGAAGGGTAACTCTCACAGCAAACACATCAGACAAAGTGCAAAACGTTCCCAGGAGCAGGTTTTCCACAGTGCTTGGAGGAGTCTCTGCTCAGAGGCATTGCTGGCATCGCGTCAGATTTGGCACAGGAGGGCAGGCAGAGTTTTCAAAGGGGTGGGGAGAGGTGAGCAGAAACACTCACTGTCTTTTTGAGAATCATAGGGGGAAACTAGAAAGAGGCAATGTCATGGAGAACATTAAAAAGTGAGACTTTTCCAATTGCCTGCGAAAGGTGAGAAAGCAGATGAAGATTTTTGAGAACAAATGAAACACACACATACATGCACATACATACCCGTCATCTCTAGATCCCAGGGAGAAGGCAAGCTGCTGCATTGTGTAGAGATTCAAAATGTAGAAAATCAATTGTAAATCACGAGTTCTGGATTCTTTGAGATGAAGTGTAATCTGATTTACAATGTTACAAAAAGAAATTAAAGTTAATTCCAACATGATTGTGGGTATACCACAATTTAATACAACCATGCTGTGGCCTTTAAATCTCCACATTGCAATATGCCAACAGCCATTACTTCTTTAAGTTTCATATTTTATTTTAAACTGTAAATTGGAAATATCACATAGCTTGTTATTTACATTTCAGAGTTAGGAACTTTGCTAAGAAACACAGTGCTCTATGGTGTAATACGATTATTGTGCAACTACCATACAGTTAGGATAGTTAAAGGCACTCCACTTCACCTCATCATTTTTTCTGCTTAAATATTATGCCACATTCTGATTAATACCAGACCAATAAAATCATCTTAGCAATCTGGTTAGAGTCTTTTGTCTACCCAGATGGCCTGCAATGTTAATGTGTGACAATTTCAACAATGAACTAGGACTGTTTTATGGAACCAACATTTGTTCCACTGCTTTTTCTTCTTAGGCTCAGAATTTTGACACAGATGGTACAAATTACTCAAAAAACAGAAATGTTCATTTAGAAGGCTTAAATATGTGGTTTTACTCAGGCCATCCGAATCTTTTACATTTACAATTCAGTAAATTTACTAACAACCCTGCTGTAATTAAGGTCTATAAAAATCCTCCCTCCTTTCCTGCTTGCTTTTCCCCTTACATATCTACAGCATTTCATTATGCATCCAATTTATTAATATTTATTCCAGTTCTGAAATGTTTTTAATTTTGGAGGATTTACACTGTTCAATCTTGCATCCGATTCTTCATACCTTTCTAATTATGGGGAAGGGGGGAAAAACCCATTTAATCTGTAACCACATCTTAATCCCCCCAGAACCTACACTTTTCTAGATCTTAAAGGAGTAGAAAAAGAAAAGACAGAACTATGTCATCAGCTTCTGGCCAAACAGCACAGCATTTTCAGTGAAGCAGAAGATTTTTTAATCCTGACTTTCCATACAGATACTCAGGAAAGAGTAAGACATCTCTGCAAAATTACAACAGGGAGAAGAAAATGGGATTCTATAAAGTGTTTTTGAGAGAGAAAGGGAGAGAGGAAGAGGAAACCCCAGACTAAAGACAGATGCACTTACAGTTTGACCAAGCCTATAAAGGCAAGAGGTTATTGTGCAAAACTGCCAGAAGAGAAGAGAGTTAACATAGAGCAACTGCTCTGGAGCTTTTGCTGCTACCCCAGGGAGAACAGAGCTGGCACAGGCTTTCCTCCGCCTGTCCAGGCAGGGGCATGTTCTGCAGCTCCAGAGCAGCCAACAGTGCCAAGGCACCTCCTCCAAGAGTGCCAGACAAGCTTCCTGCCATACGTCCAGGCTCCCCTAGACCTGCAAACCATCACAGGGGGCTCTCCAAAATGATCTGGCCACACACAGAAGCAAGGAGGAGCACGAGAAAGGCAGAGACCCTGCTCTGCTCCAACCCAGACACGCTTCAGCCCCCACTTGGTGCAGCCCAGCAGAGACTGTGGTCTGCAACAGCCCACCTGCTTCCAGAAAGCCTTTGGGTTTATAGGAGAGGTTGTGCTGAAATCACCCACCTGAGTCCCCACAGCAGGGTTTGCTTTCAGGGCATCCTTCCCAAGTGTATTGTGACACCAGGCATGGCCCCAGAAACCTCATGCCATTTCACAGCACTGCAATTGCTAACACTTATTTCACAGTCTTCCTTTGACACTTGCTGTACCAGTGTGTGGTTTCAGCATCACTCTGATGGTCTGGTTTCTGTCTGACTACATCTCTGTGATGGTTTGGTTTTATTATTTAAACAAATAATTTAAACATTAAAATCAAATTTAAAAACCAACACAAAACCCCCTGACTGTCCTTTTCAGTCCTTGCAGAAAGTACAGTATACTCCTGATGCTCCAATTCATTATGATATTCTATTAGATCTGCCAACAGAAAGTGCATTTTGAGTTTCTAAATGTTGTTTCCATTAGAATCAATCACTCCATGCAATTAAGCCAATAGGCTCTCACCATTTCTGCTGTTATGAGCTAAACCATCCTAAATATATTGACAGCTGTCTCCTAGAAGATGACACAGATTAGGTGGAGGGGGCATAAGCCTAAATGTCACCAGTGGGAGGACAACAGTTATTCTTTCAGAAATCTACCTAATTTTCATACCCCACAAGGCATTCAAGTAGACTTTCTTTGCATTGGCAGCATGCAGGAATCGATGTTTTGCATATTACAATCAATAACATGCTTAAATGTTTAAGTTTTGCATTCTTTAGCGATAAACATTGATATATTACAAACTATGTAAAACTGTTCATTGGACTTTTTGTTTGCAGCATGTACTGTATCATTCAGCAAATAAGTGAGCTAAATATTGTTTGTTACAAAACAGATGTCACATGAAATTATGCCATATGTGCTATTAAACATTTTCCTTTTTTTTTTTTTACAGTGAAAACCAAGATTTAGTTTCAGAAGTGAGTGTATTTGGCTTTTCAGGGATTTGAAGCATGAAAACAACATCTCTACAATATTTTTAAACCTGCTGTGCATCTTGTAATCCAGTTTCATAGGTGGAATCTGAGTGTTTTAAATGTAGATACATTAAAAATAATGAAATATGCTAAATGTATGGCTGCATTACTACTTCCCCACAGGTTCTACTGATTTATCATAGAGAAAATGAGAATTTTCTACCGTTTTGCCCTACCTATTAAATGCTAGGACTTTTATCACATCAGTGCCTTTAAATACAGGTACTGTAACTTGAAAATTAATATACAGTTTTTCAACCACCTAAAAAAAAAAAAAGGGTCCAGCTAATGGATGTATAAAATTTTCTGCAAACATTTGATACTGGAATCTGAGAATAGTGGGAGGATAGTATTCATGGAGGTGAAGACCTGCTTCAGAGCTAAACACAAACCCAGTAACTCCGCACAAGGAAAAGGAATGCGTTCCAACATTCGACTTTAATTGTTTTGACAAAATAATATATGTGAAAGCAGAGCAATCTATATCTCTAGACTTTGAAAGTGTGAACTCCACAACAGAGTGAGCAGAATGCAGGAAACATGTTGCTAAGAGCTATACAGTAAAACAAAATCTGGTTGCCACAAGAAGAGTGACATTGGCATCAGAGGCAAAGACACTTCCACCCACAAATGGAAACACGGCACACTGGGAAAGCAGGAGAAGAGGAGCAGATGCAGCAGCACAAGGAAGAAACTCAAAGTAAAGATCTTCAGACTCCATATGTAGTTTTCTTTCTCTTATTCATCAAAAGGAGGAAGACAGGGTAAACAAAAAGGGAGATAAAGACAAGAAGGTGAAGAAAATATTTCCTTCTTCTTCTTCCCCCCCGAAGGCAAAATACTTGCTTACATTTCTAAACACACTATCTTTGTGAGGTTTCTCTGTAATACAAATAACTAATTGCTTGCCAGCGAGCAGTAAAAGTGAGAGGAAGAGTCCTTGATCTCCCAGCTTGGTGGAGATTCCTGAGGCTTCTAGTTGGTAAAAAAAACCCTGCAAACAAACTTTAACACTTCAGTGGACAGAGTCCCCTCTCTAACACTACAAGCTTCCCTATGAAGGCAGACAAACTAATCTTAGACCCCAAACTAATCTTAGGCCTGGTGAAGCTGCCATCTGTAGGTTACAGCACCTACTGTAGTGTATCAAATTCCCTTCCCAATTTCTCCTGTTTTCTGAAGGACAGTGTCACCTTCTTCACATCCCACTGGTTGTTTTGCAGGTTCACTTAGGCTGTTTGTGGAAGAATGGCAGATGGGGCCACCACGAAGCATCACTGCTGTGCCTCGTTCACACCACCACACACATGGGAGACAGACAAACACCAGTTTATTGGCTCACCGAATTTTCCCACGAAGAGTAGCTTTTCCAGCACAGTGATGCAGCAAAACTCCAGCGCCTCCAACAAACCAGTCCCACCAGCTCTGCCTTGGGTAAATGCCAGGAGGATGAGCCCTCACTGTTTTGTGCCCACCCTGCAGGTCCAGACAGAGCCCTGGCTGCCGGGAAGAGGGTCCCAGAGGCCCCTGTCACCTCAGGGATGGGCACCCGGTGGTCGTGTCCCCCTCAGATCTGGTGTCACAATGCCTAACACCATCCTCAAACTGCTGTTTTTCCAAGTCTCCTGATCCAACATGCCTTGGCTAAGTCTAAATGGGGTTTTTGTGGATAGAACAAGATACAGTAGAAGCAGGTCAAGCATTTTCCCGGGTTAAAACACAGCCATCGAGGAAGCCGATGGTGAGCAGTCAGGAACAGTTACTCTGCAGTACCTTCCTTTGTGGCAAATCCTTAGTTCATGCAAGATGTTCAGCATAGAAAACATACACAACTTCTTAAAAAAAAAAAAAAAGAAAAAATCAAACTCAGCTTTTTTTTCCTGAAAACATAGTATTTTTTACCCCCTACTTCTAGAGAAGGGCAGGATTATTTTTAAATTATGTAGCTAGGTGCCAGTGTTTGGGGTGATAGATTCTTTACAAATGCCAAAGATCTGAGAGTGGGAAAGATTACAGGTAACCCTACAACCCCTGATTGAATGCAAACAGAGTGGTAAAAGCTTCCTCTTCTCCCTGCCTCCATATTGCACCTTATGCAGCAAAGTGCTTCGTACATGATAAAAATAGCTAGGTCTTTCAAAATCTTACAAGAAAGGTACTTGAATGTTTTTCTTTAAACGTTGTATTTTCTTAAAGGCAACATAATGAGGTCAACTGAAGCTGGATTCAGGCTGATAAACTGTGTTTAGGAGAAACCAGAGGTTGAGCGAGGGGGTTTTAGCAGAGGAAAACAAAGAGAATGATTGCAAAAGTCAGATCTCAAAATGTTAATCAGATACAGAAACATAAAACATGACAATTTAATGGTGTTTGGTTAAAACCAGAAAATTTTAAAGTTCTAAGTATCTTACATTGAATTCTAATACTTTTTTAATTATTAGATATAAAATGCTTACAATTTTCAGTAAAAATTAGACTTGGTAATTTATATTTCTTGTTTATACAGTACAATTTGCTGATGAAAAAAATGTGCTAAACTTATTGATTCATGACCATAATTGTTTAATTATTTATCATTGCAGAATTATATTAGCATTTATAATAATGCAGATGTGCACAAAGGCTAAGAAGTCATATACAGCTTTTGTTTTGTGTTTGCTGTGCTGAAATTAGGTTGATCCAGGTTGTGTGTGCATACTGCATATTGCAAGTGTTGCAACTCAGCGTCTCTTGGTTTTACTGGAGTTAGAGGAGGTCTCACCAATAGCCTCAATAATGAAAACGCTCCGATAGCTAATAAAGAATATAAACCCAAAGCTAACAGCGCTGCAAAAGAAGCCTCTCCTCAGATTGATTCTCCTGTTACCATGATGCACATTAAATTCAGTGCAACACACGCACAGCTGTTTGCTCCGTGCCACCCACAGCAAAGGAATAGCTCGTGTGCCTTTGGTACAAGGGAAGCCAACAAGAGCTGCACACCACAAAAATTACAAACCAGCTAAACCAGCCAAAATCTTCTGCATGAGGCCAGTTAAAGAAGAACATAAGAACTCTTGATATGAGAGAAACACATTCCTTTAATTTTCGTCTTTATTTTAAGGGATCGTAAACACTGGAAGAAAATGACAGATGCCTCACTTCAGTCTCTCCTCCCCTCTGTGTGCTGAATCTATTCCCTCAAGGAACTCCAATAAGACAGACATACATCCCTTTCTCAAGAGCTGCTAAAATAGCTTTGCCATGGGCATCACAAGAAATTTGTAACACTGAGTGTGTCTTTCTGGACTCATCCTTTTGACATACTGGTAGCCAAGGTTCCCATCGCCTCTCCCCTCTGCGCTCTTTTCACCTAACGTTATTTACTGGTGCTACCTTTTCATAATTAAGAGTCCGTATCAAAGCAGTTGTAACACCATTTAAGCAGCTTTTCTGAGGAATCAAATCTAAATGAAAAGGCAAAGTATAAAAATGCCCCATCTTCTGCTGTGCCTAACTGATTTGCTCTGCATTTTATCCTCAGGGAGGTGCTGATTCCAAAAGCCAGGGAAGAAGGACCATTCACAGAAGCAGCATCACACAACCAGCAAGGAGAGCTGCTTGTGCATTGTACGTTTACGTGTGTTGAGTGTCTCTAAAAGCAGCCCTCCAGCCATGCTCTGGCCATATCAGCTGGACTGTTTATCACAAATTCACAGAGTGAGTATTTAACCTACTGACTCCTGCATCACAGCACAGGCCAGGTATTTGTTTCTTTTGTTAGATTAATACTGGTGACAGAATAACACACTCATTAATGGTGATAATGATTACACAGTGAGGTAGAACAGTAATTCTTCCAATGTACCGTACAGAGGAGTCAGTTTCATTAATTAATAAAATTTATTAAAGAACACAAGACAATCAAAGAAAACACACTTTAGTTAAGCACCTTCTCAGATGCTCATCATTGGCTCAGTAACTTTAAACCTTTCAACCTTCTGGTAAGGCTACATGTGCCACAGAGAGGGACAAGTGACAGGAGAGCACACCCTGGCTCAGAGCATCCTTTCCCCCTCTGCCAGCAGGAACAGAAGCCCCCAGTGAGGCTTCAAGGGACTCCAGAGCAGGAAAAACCTGGAGGAACTAGACAGCAGGATGAACTGTGTCCCACACTGAATACATGCTAACTGCAGGACTGGACTGTGAATAACAACAGACCCACCACCTATTAATCCATACACTGGATAAATCCCTCCGTTTCCCAGCTTGCTCTGTCACTATGTAACGTAAGAGAAAAATTCCTCTGAGACTGCTTCTGCAAGGTCCTAATCACACCAAGAAGCTTGGGTGAGGACTTCTCCTGAGCAGGATGATCTCAAACATTTTGCAGTTATTAAAACCTGAATCCTCCTAAACATCTGTGTGGGATGGCCATTCAACAAATCGTTTACCCAAACTGCACAACAACATGCAGGTTTTGGTATCCCTAATGTAAAAAAATAAAATCAAACAATAAAAACAAAAAACAACTCACAACAAAATAAAACAACTATGGCAAAGTACAGATTAGAATCCAAGTTCCCAGTCTCAGAGCTATCTTAGGCAGCAGTGCCTGAATTTCTTTAAGTGATCGTATTCCTTCCTACACAACTATCATGTCAGATTTTAATTCTGCTTACCAACACACTGCCATTAGCTATCTGGGGGATTTATTGGCTTTGTCAAGCAAGGAAATGCCAGTGTTCAACTGTGCATTCAGTACTCAGTTTTATGGGTAAAAAGGTGGCAAGGAAGAGTAAGATTGCTATATGGGCTACAAGACTTAGTCCCTGGAATTCCCACATAGTGTTTTTGATCTTCAGTTCCACCATTATGAGATAGTAATTGCTCAGTGCTATGCAGATATGGATGCTTAAGAGATCAGGAAATGCCTGGATACAATAGCCACCATAATGGGGGACTCCAGGCATGCCATGGCAGCTAACTGGGAGAAGGTTACTTTGCTTATTCTGTTTTGTTCAAATATAAATGTCTTTTGGGAAATGATGGTGAATCAAGATCTATTTCTATTATTATCTTTTCAGGTAGTGTCGTATCTACAATAAGCCAAAACAGACAGCCCCCATTTCAGCTTAAAGTGGCTTTAAGTTGTAGACCAGATGTCCAAATGGAAACCAACTAACCAAAATCCTTCAAATAAAGGAAGTGCTTACAACTCCTAAGTTATGACCCAGAATTCAGTATTTCAGGTTGTTTATTTCCAAGATAACAAACACTCACTTGGTGCAATTCTTACTAAATGATATGTGAAGTCAGTACACTTACACAAGGCTGGAGTAACTCAGGAGTCTAAATTCTCCTCTTTTTCACCAGCACCAATCTGGAGCAATTGCACTTGGGGTAAAGCAGCATAACACTGCAAATTGTCCCATGTCCTTAAAACCACTGCCCCTGAAGTAAGACAGAGTCCTGCAGAAGCTAACCCAAGAAAAAACTACTTTAACATGCTTAATGAAGAAATGAGGTGAAACTGAAATGAATTTTCACAGCAATCAGTGCAATGCTTCAATGTTTCCTTGGAAAGCCTGGCTCCTCTCCTCCCAGGTTGCCCCATTCCATTGTATTTTCATTAATTTGGAACTTAAATCAGCAAAACAATTGTGTGACTTTCAAAAATGGTTGAAATGTCTAAGCATGAAAATACATTTTGTGTGGCTGTGTGCAACCATGAAACATTATTTTAATGAAGAGATTGAAGTTGTATCTTCCCCCTAACTTGTCTGGGTTTATTGTCACCACTGCTGCATCCTCCAACTTTATAATGGCTAATAAGAAAGCATGACTGGAGTACAATGGATGGGCTTTGTCCTTCATTAGAATTATTGTTTTTCATCACACTTTATTTTCAGTATTTTTCCTTTAAAATAACTCTTTGAACCAAAGCCTACATTCCTCTCTTGTTCCCACACTAATCTCCTATTTGCCAATCCTCAGGATTCACACATATTGCTATATTTGGTGTTATTCCTAAAGCTCTTCATAATTACATCACAATCAATTCCTTAAATTCGAAAGTGTTTTGAGCTCTCCTAATTGTAGAGACAACTTCAAGAATTTTGCCAAAATAATCTAATGGCCTCCAAATGAAAAGGCAACGAACAAAAACTCCTTAAAAAAAAACCCTCTTCATAAGCCAACATCATGTTTGTGGGGAGCCTGACTCACAGCTGTGAATGCTGCGGTTTAGTAACGTAAAGTGCTCGTCACAAAGATCCTGTAAACTTTATACAACTTCTTAAGCTCAGGGAGGTAAATGCCCTGACCTGAGGTCATGCAGGAGAAGTGCTAAACCCCCAGATCTTCCAGTCCCCGCACAGGTGCCTTGGTCACAGGCATGCAGGTCCTAGACTGGCTTCTGATCTCCAACATCCCATCCCATGAGCTTTCTACGGATCCTGCAGCTGGAACCCACCATCGGCCGGTCCCTCTTCCTGCTCCTTCAGTCTCTAAACAGGAGGTCAAGGCCATGTTCACACAGCCCATGAGCCTCCATGCAGTGCTGAATACACTGCACTCTCAAATAATAACAATTCAGCATAGCAGGGTTTGCAATTCCCCTTCTGTCCTTCTCCACAATGAAACAAAGGACCCTTCTCTGGTGGCACCACAACAAAATGATGTGCCCAGGCAGAGATACCAACATCAGCTCAGAAGGAAACACCACCTGCATAGCACAGAGCACACAGGGTACACAAAGGAACACCTTATATACCTGAAAATGAACAGGAGGTACAGAATTAGTCATCTCCAGAGCACAGAGTACACCCTGTTTCTTCAGTCTGTTCACAAGTGTCCCCTGAACCTAAAGAGTTCGGAAAGGCCTGTGGTTTAGCAAAGTCAAATTTCTCTCACCAGGTAGAAATAATCAAGGTAAATAAAGTCTCTTTCCCTCTCATCCCATGGGCACTAAACTCTCAGAAAACCTCTGCAGAACTGAGCAAGCAGAGGCTGAGCCACCTACTCAGGACTGGTCATTTACAAAGTCCCATTTGGGGAGTCCTGTCCTGTAACCCACTGCCAGGTGACCTCCACATCAAGCCAGTTTCAGAGGCTGCACAGCACTGAACAGACTCTCTAGCTTTTCCCCTGATCCCAAAGGGCACAACTCCCACTGTAACACAAGAGTTAGCACAATATTCTAATCATCACCTAGACCCAATGAGCATTGAAACTGAAGAGATGGGAAAAAAAGAACCTTTTAGGAGATAAGCATAGTTTTGTCTGTGCATAATAAGGGTAAAACATGAGATATCTTAATCTTTATCCCATATTCATACATTTATAGCCAAAAAAGCAAGGAACAATATCAGAAATGTTCCAAGAATACTATGCCAGCACTTATCTGGTGACACTTGAGATGAAGAAGATAATTGAAAGGATGATTGCATTGGGCTTGTTGTACTCCATTGATAAGAAAGGTTTTAGAGAGCCCATTCAGTATGCTCAGCCATGATACAAGATGCCAGGAGAAAACACAGTACTGCAGCAGTGACAGCACCTCGGATCTATGAAACATTAAAATGAAAGATTAAGCAGGCTCTGAAAGAAGCGATGTTGGGCACAGTTTGCTCGATGACAAACATTTGGACAAACATCTAGGCATCAGAATACCTCTTAATCGCTGCCCACTGACTGTCACCCTGCATTCCCATGCAAAAATCTGCCCATAAATTAGAAGCCTTCGCTGTCTCTCCCCTCGGTAAAGGCCAGTAAGAAAAACACCAACAGCCCAAATCCTGTATGGCTGTGCTCTCAGGATCTGCCAGCAGGGCTGACGTGAGGTCCACACCCAGGTAAAACACGAGGTGATCACTTGTTTTCCTGTTCTATTTATTAAACATCTCTTCCTTGATTATAACTAAGCACCAAGTTTTTGCAATACTAGCAAAATCTGTAACGGTTTCTATAACTCTCATGATATTCTAAGCTAACTTCAGAGGCAGAGCAATTTACCAGAACTGCAGCTTAAACAAGTTTGAATTTCATTTGCTATATATATGAAGAGAATGCTCTTACTGAAAAAAGAAATGCATGAGCGCACATTAAAGCAGAGCTTTGATTCTGAACTCTTTATCCTGAACTCTGAACAATGGATACTTATGAATCATTTGTGCTGCATACTGAAGCCTTTTGAACTGGTAACAAGAGAAATCAGTTCTGCTAATGCATCTCTCATCCCAGATCTCTCACTCATCCAGATTTTAAATCTGAAACTTAGAAGAATAAAACTGTCTTTTTGGAAGGACCAAGAGTATTTTGGAAAACAGACTGGTCAGAGGGGAGGGGAATTTCTGGATGGGGCAATAAGGAGATTGCATGCAGGTTCTGATTTTCAAGACCAGATGTTTAAAATAAATGTCTGATGAAGGTAGGGAAGAGGCACATTACAAAATGGTTCGTACTGCCTGTATTTGGGACCTGGTGGGGCAATATTGTCACTCTGTGATGTAGAGCAAAACCAGATCATGGGGGTCCTAATGATTAGGATGACATTAAGTAAAGTTTTGCATGTGGACAAAACACAGGATTAAAATTTAGGAACCTATCCTCTATACTGGCATAAATTTGGTCCTAGTAATGGAAAAAAGTACAGCAAATGTAGGAATTTGCTCTTAAGGAAAACCAGCCTTTAATAGTATTATAAAGTTTTTCTATATAAGCCATCTTTAGTCCTTTCTTACAGCTAACAAGCTAACAGAAAATGCTCCTAGTTATGAAGGAAAAGGTTTTCAGCTATGAATTTTACACAAGTCTGATGTAAGAAGTTGCATGTTTGAGGATGTGTTTCACAGAAGAGATCAAATTCAGATTAAAAGAACTAAAAGTGCAGTCTGCAATGATGCATGGACAGATGTGTTCCTCCAACTCCAGACTTTTGAGATCTCCTTTTAAACAGCAGAGAAAGTGTACAAAAAAAGCTACTGAAAGTTTTATGAGATAAATTGCACAATACCAACCTGATTAAATTTCAAATGCTATCAACTTTTGCTCAGAGTCTACGAGAGGGAACAGACCTGAATTGAGAGTGCAGCCACTGAAAGTGCTTTCGAGGCAGGTCCAGACATGTGATAAATGAATGTCCACATTAAATGACAATGTCACTAACGACAGAAGCATTGAAAGATCAAACCAAGTGCACAATCAGAACTCTGTATTTCAGTGCAAAATTCACCCTTAATATTTAGCAGTGATGACCTCCAGATGATAAAATGCCTGCAGTGTCCCAAGTGCACATGCCTGTACAATGGAGAGGCTGGCATTAGCACACTGCTAAATCATAGCTTGCAGGTAAGTGCTGCACTCGTTAGATGCCTATGCAAGACACACAGAGGTAAAACCAGTCCTGTACGAATAATGCAACATCTTTTGTCCCCTCTCCCTGCCATGCAGCCACAGCTCAGCAGTAAAGCAATTTACCCTGGCAGTTCCCCAGGTAAATGAGTTACACGAGGACTCAGCTACCACGATTTGGCAGCTCAGAAAGGGCATGGGGTGGGACAAGGCAGAAGAGACCCCAAGGCAGCCCTGGGAAAGGCTCAGCACTGTCCAAGGGGGCCTGGAATACCGGGGCATAGGGAAGAGCAGGGCCTTGCCGCTCCATCACCCCATGTGTCCCTCCAGCAGTGACCACTGTCAGGTATCACCACTGCCCATACTGAAGTGCAAGTGAATTTTTGTCATGGCCTTTTTCCCCACAGGGATGATTTGTGGGCAGGTTTAAGTTATTTAATAAATTACTTAATTCTCAACTTTTTGGATTCACCTGTAACCCCCAAGGTTTCACCAAATGTTATTCTTACCCTCTTTCTAATTGTATACATAAGATTAGACAGGGGTAGCATTTCCTAAGCTCATGCCATAAATACTCTCTCATATGCCAAACTGAAAACTCTCTCTCTCATGTTTAGTGACCCTCAAATCACACTTCTTTCAGATCACCCAACTGTTACAGTAACAGCAAAAGCAACAGGATGCAAATAGCAGAATTCAGCACACATGCACATTTTAAGCTGTATTCACAAAAAGGCACAACTTCCCCTCTGAAATGCAGCCAGCTCTGGGGTAAAACGAATTTCGATTTGGGAGGCAACTTAACTTCCCTACAATTCTGGAGAAAAGAGAA